ACGCCTCTATTCAAGCCTTGAAATTGACGTAGCGCGAGAATTCTGGTCTTCTAGCGACAGACTCGCCGTTTTCAAACTCAACACTATTTAAGTAAAGTCCTTTCCTTAGCCCTAACACTAAATAATGGATACATAATATTTATTTGTAAGATCGCAAAAATTAGGATAAACTTATGATTTAGCCAGCATTAAAATAATCATTGTAATTCTGGTAGCGTCACATGATTAGTACTGTTTTTAAAGGAGGTTAATTAAAAAAATATATAAATAAATTTCAAATTTTCGTCTCTACCTAGGTTGCTATAACTCAACCCGATCGTTCATTCAATCGAATGTTGGTTGATGACCTTAAATGACTTATAAGATTTTTATGAACTGCCATAAGCCGTTTGGTCATATCGAAGGTTGAGAGACCTTCTAGTACACGTCTTTATGGTTATTAGTAGAAAATTTAGAAAACCTGATGCAGTAAGTTGTACAGACATTTTATATTAAACCTTTGAAAACAGGTCTCGATATAGAAAGATATTACTATGATATCGTTACTCGGTAAAACCAGAGTAAGAATGATATTAAAAAAATATTTTTAATAACATTTAATATGACTATTATGACTTACAACCAAAAATTCATATGATATCATGACGAATGTTATACCAAAAAAAAAGTTTATGACATAGGCCATCGGCTTACATTGTTCAGCTGCGGGTAGAAAGATTTGACTCGAGTGATTAGGATTATTAAAGCTCTAGATTACGTTAAGAGCTTTCTACTATAGAGCCACGGGTTTGTACTAGAGCTGTAAGTGAAATTGGTAAAACTAAATATGGGGTTGAGTCAATAGAAACCAAGCAAATATTTTTTAATAAGTTTTTTTTAAAATTTTTTAAACAAGAATAATTTAACAAAAACTTGATAAAATTCAATAAAATTTTTTTAAATTAATTCTAGTTCGTAAAAATTATTTAAAAAAATTTTCATTAAATTTGGTCAAGTTTTTGTTTGGTTATTCTTGTTTAAAGATATAAAAAATTTTTATTATAAAAAATTTGCTTGATTTCCATTGACTCACCCCCATATAATGACTAGGAGAAACTTAGGTTGAAGCTACAGTGAAATTCTAAATTAGATTCACTTACAACTCTATACTAATTTGCGTTAGAATTTTATTAATTGGGGCAAGGCCGATGATTTTCTACGGTGGGTATCTGTGATTTAATGTGATAAAATTTTTACCAATTTCTGTTATGTGATGCTTTTTGTAATTTTGTGATTTGATGCGATTAAATAATCCCGTAACTCTCCAATGGGCATGTCGTAATTTACATTTCTGGGATTTCCCAGTTCAGACCTAAATTTATGGTTGAATGTTGTCTATGATATTCTGTGGTGACTAATGGTGATTTCTGTGGTTAACTGCGATTAAGAGACATTCTACTGTTTTTTTGTGAATCAAAGAAAATCGTCGGGGTGAGGGGTATCATAGACTAAGGCCGTTAAAAGTTGAACGTCATCCCCTTTTGGATTAAACAAGCTAATCACAACACAACAAAGACTTCATTAATTATGTGATCAAAGTTGACCAATGAAATTTAATTAAATATTCTTGGACATATATGTATCTTCCCTACCTCTCTCGTGCCTGAACCGACGTTAAATCTACAGTTCTAGGCGTTATTACTCAATCGAATTATTCTGATTGTTTTCTTTATTAAAGATAAGTTGCATTATTTATATACGTACTATTATTTAGAGAACATTTTTTGAATTTACAAGATATTTGCTGATTGTTTTCTCTCTCAGTTTCAGGGGTAAAATCGATCAACACGACGTACGCACGTACGTACGTACGTTGTAAAGGGGTAAACCGTGGCTTGGAATGAATTTTTTCGCACATAGTAGATCAGATGCATATTAGGTTTAGAGAGTTTGGCGCATTTTGGAACACACGTACATTTTGTACATAGAAGCCGTGTACATTTTGTACATGGAAGCCGTGTACATTTTGTACATGGAAGCCATGTACATTTTGTACATAGCGATCAACATCAAAGAAAACCCCATAGAAAACCTTGTTAGATAGCGAACATAGCCTAGTTATAATAAGAAGCGGTCCAAAAAGATAGCTAAGTTGAAAGCTAGAAGTTAGAAGTTAGAGTTGGTAGAACTCATTAGAGTTCTACTCATAGAGAGTCTAGTATTCTGACATTAAAGTTTCGGTCTAATTACCCCCGATAAATCAAATTCGCATAGAGTTAGTAGTCTAAACCCGTGATCCCGAAGTAGAGCCTCGTGACGTAATCCAGAGCTCTATTTGATCCTAATAACTCGGACCAAGTCTTCCATGCCTCTTTCGTGCCTACCACCATTAGGGTTCAGTAGCACATATATTGTGATTCCGGACTTTACAACGTACGTGCGTACGTGTTAGTTTACATATCCAAAAAATTTTATGGATAATACCATTTAGACCTGCCAAGTATTGTATAGGTCAGTTTATCCTAAATTAGTCAACAGGAAAAACAAAAGTACAGTATATAATATATATATTATCACAATTTTAGATTCAAATATTATTACTATTTTATTATACTGTTTTATTAAAACCGAATGTTAATTATATATATTTAATTAATAATTTAAATTATATTATATAGTATTTATTAGAAAGGAAACTTGGTTCATAATAAATCGTAAACATATCAACATTAAAGTTAATGAAAAACTAAATTTGTTGCGCTGCTCATATTAGTGTCGTGTAACTTGTAAATCTCACCAATTTTTATCGTAAGTTTTGAGGTAATATACTGTTCCACTTGCAGATGATACCATTTGATTAAGGCGTTGATTTATGGTGCTGCACCTATACGTAGCAGTATGTATAGCAAATCTTTACATTGATGATGAAAATTGATTATCAGAACTCTAATCTCGGAGTACTCGTATGCACAGCCCCAAAAGTATTGTAGTACATTTGGGATACTGCATGTGTGTGTATGTACACGAAATAGGTATTTCTTGGTGTTTTTATTTTTGATGATCAAATGATAAATTTGTTAACTGAATTTATACAGTACAACTGCACTAAAAAAAGATTAGGCACTAACGCCTAAAAAGGCCAAAATAAATGATTGATTGTATTATTGGAATTTATTTTGAACATTCATTTAGAATATTTATTTATTGAGAATTTATTTGTACGAATCAAAAATACTAATACTGTAACGGTTGAATTAGACTGCTGCCCTATAACGATAACCCGTTTTATTCTAAAATGTAGTTTTTATACTAAAAAGTAAAACAAATTCCACTTTAGCGTTAGTGTAGTTTTCATTTAATCTATACAGATTTAGTAATTTGCGATACTGTTCATTCATTATCAATTGTGTTACAGAAAAAACAATGGCCTATTTAAATTGTTAATAAAATAATCAAGTTATTATATATTTTAGAATCCGGCCGGAATGATCCTATCATTAAATCCGCTAAAGCGAATCGAGAAATTGATTTATACTAATTAGTATTATGATTAATTTAGTATTGGTTATCATTCAACAATGTATATATTAAATTTATTCGGTCTTGTGCATAATATAAACCAATAATCGGATAATTGTTGGGAGTAGGATAAGCGAAAGTTTACTGAGCCAATATTAACATTAATCCACATTCCATAATATATTTTGGAGGGAAAGAATGTACATATCCAGAAATTATGATTATCACTTTTGAGTATAAAGAAAGTAGTTATTTATATATGCAAAGATTTCATACTACTAATAGTAAACATATTTTCTATTTATATTAAATTTTTAGCAATAAATTTTTTTAGTAATAAATTTTTTACCAATAAATATTTTTATAGTTTTTCGAATAAAAATTAGTGTTTATTTTTTACTAAAAGTTCCTTATAATAAGTGATTATTTAATCTATGTTTGTAGTCGACATTAATTTATCGACTCGATTACATTTAGTACATTTAGTACGTAATCAAATTCCTTGTGTAAAAATATTTTTAATAACAATAAAAAAAACTTCTTACATGCAATTATAATAAAAATTTAACGCGACTTATTAATATGCGAAGCACAGGATGCAACTAGTAATTATATAAAATATGTAGAATCATCTATATCCCGAATTTTTCGCCAACCTACTATTATAAAAGTTGTTTGACTATTTTTCCTGAATCTCCCGAAATTTCTTATACGTATACTAACAAAAGAATCGACTAAGTCAATTTTTTTAAAAATTGACTGACTTAGTCGGCTGAGTCGATTTTATCAGATAATGCCAAATCGACTACAAATCATTAATTTGTTTGTTCGCCGGATAAACAAATTATTGGATATTTTGAGCTAACGGTTAAAGGTTTAAAGAATTTCTTTAAAAATAGTTTCATTATAGGAAATTTCAAAATCGTATTTCTTGTGATTCTCTTTTTTTTGCAAGAACTTTTTACAACCATAGCACCATTGATGTTTTTACCATTTATAGAATGGCATTCATTTTAAAATTAAAGTAATTGTAATTAATTCAACAAAAACTCAATTTCACATTGTGTGAAAAAAAGTTATTTGTTTAATGTTGTAATATTCTAATGATTATTGAGAAATTTCTTTATTTATAGTTACTATTTACCACGTGTAACCATTTGCCTTATGTAAAGATATTTGTTTTTATTTTGTGGCAGCTTCACACATTAATTTAAATTCGATGTCTTGACATAATTTTCTACTCAATACCAAATTTAAAGAAATGAAGTCTCTATCGTGTAATTTGGTATTCTTAATTATCAATTTCCTGTTGATCTTTTTACCAACAGGATTTACGCAAACTATACAATATTCATACTTTAACTATAAAGAAAGCCCAAGTCCGTATAATAATCTTACCGGGGTCCAACCTCACATTATAGAAATTAAACATTATAATGATAATCCGAGTACAGCAGTTGTTCGTGTCGCTCGGACGAATTACTTCGTCAATAGTTATTGTTTTGAGCAGAGATTATTACTTCGTGTTATTCAAGCAAATGGAAGTGTTATCGAAATAAATTATAATGCTACCGAAATACAAGATATACAAGATATCAACTATTGTTATGTTGTGAATGATTCAAATTTTCCCTTAAATTATTACCCATTATTTGACCAATACATTTTAGTAACATATACTCATGCAACTAATACTTCTGACATTACAACCTATACGGATCGTGGGATGGTTATTGATTGGAGTGGAACATTTGTAAGGTTTGTTAATAATATAAATTTTTTAAAAAAAATTTTAATAATAATTGATTATGCAATTAATTATATATTATCTTAGCGGCAGTAACCTCGATTTTGGACCATCATATTTGTTTCAAGGCACAATTTGGTATCCGGATGAATATATAGTTAATAATATTACTCCCAAAAAAGGTTTCTTACGTTTATCTGCAACAAATGTTAATGGAATAGATTCTGCTAGATGGGCCCAATATCAATAGTACGTTCAGTTTTATGTATTCGTTAATTAAGTAGATGTGTACACCAAATCATTTATTTTTCTTTTATTTCAGCAATGGCAATGGAATATTCTCTTTATTACAGACTGACACAGTTCAGAGTGTAGGTCTTACTCTTACCAGCTTTCAAATTACTGTATTCGCTACTTTAGATGGTGGATATGCAATTGCATATGCTAATACGACCAGTAGTCAAACTTATAACAGTACATTAGCCACTAAATTTGTCGCAAATGGAGGAATATATGCCTTATTCGTGGGTTATAATCAAACAAAAACACCCCAAAGAATGATTTTATTTGAATTAACTACTCCAAACCTAACATTCACTCACCTATATTGCTCTGTCGACTACGTTTACATTGGTCATTCATGTATCGCGTATGTAACACAGACGCAAACTCAAACAATTCAAAATGTTACTACAACTGTTATCACAACTACTACGACTCCAACGGGAGCTGCCCCCACAGTCGTAGCGGTTACCACTACTATATCAGCTCCACCTACTACTACTACGTCCACAGAAAACTTTTACGTGAAAATACGTTTTCTTTCTAGTGGATCTGTGTTGTCATTGGATCCAATATTTCCACCAAACAATGGGTCTTTAACTCAAGTTAGAACATTACCTCTCGGAGGATACGCATTAATAAATCGTGGATATTCTGGATCCAATATTAATTTCGCCTTTGATCTCTATAATGAATCTGACAGTTTATCCAATTATACATTTCCTATGCATCCTTTTACTTCAAATTTTGATGGCGCGTTTGACATATTGCAAGATAATACGATGTTAGTGGCACTAAATGAATCGACCACTTCTTGGCAACTTCTTTCAATTAAGCTGCCACCACTTTCCCCGTATAATGGTAAACCAATTTTGAATTTAGTAGTATGAAAATTTTTTTTTTTTAAAAAAAAATTAAATAATAATTATGTTCGTATTTTATAGATAATGGTTATGGTAATTTACATGTGGGCGCAACATACCCTAAAAAAGGTCTTGGCGGATTAGAATTAAATTTCAACAATATTTCCATCACATACCAAGATTCCATCGCGCTTAGCACTGGAAATCTATATATCTATCAAAAAATTGATGAAGTTAACAGTACTCTTCGACAGATAATTAATGCAGCGTCTTGTGATGTTAGTAAAGGATGTACTGTTTTAGACAAATCCATCAACCTCAAAGTACTTGATTGTACCTTCAATAATCCGAGTGCGCAATATTATATTGAGGTGGATAATGATTTTATAAAGAGCTCAGAATATAATGAACCAATGCTTGGAATTGATCCACATCTATGGAACTTTTCCACAAGTATGTATATTATATAATTACAATCATTTGGTTATTGTCCGGAGCGTAGATAAGGATCTAAGAGAAGAATAGTAATAGACCATATTTTGTGTATAATAATGTCCGCATATGCATTATTTTACAGTCGCTTTATTTATAATGTTAATTGACAATTGACAATGCGAAATTCGGGATTTGTAAATTAATTTGATGTTAACTATATATGTTCGCATTTTTTTTTAGATTAGATTATTTAATTTGTCTGTATTGATTTTAGCTAGCAATTTGAAAAATTTTTAGCTCCGGACGATTAACAGTGTCTGTTTTCTAGTTTAAAATTGGTTATTAATAGGAAGCTCATCAATTAATTTAAATAGCCGATCAAACATCATATACACAGCGTGCAGGTAATGTGATCTAAGCTTATAAGGTTAATATTTATCAATATCGATATGCATGTGTTAAGTTCAAATTTTATCATTAAATTGATTAAATTAGGTGAAATCTATGCAGTATTAAGACTAACAAACAATGGAACTCAGTATTTTGCTGCAAATTTGAGTTCTACAGATAAACAAAACTTTTTTAATACTTTGATAAAAGAACTTACAACTATGATTCCCACTGAGAAAGAAAGATTGGACACAGACTACCATTATCAATATGATACATCCGATTCATCGAAAATTATTGTCTCATTTACTATTCATGAAGCAAAGGGTAATAATAAACTGATTACTACAGACATAAGAAATAATTTAGACCAGCTGATAAAGAATAAACAATATACGGTTATATCGACGGGAACTACCACACAATATTTGGACGATACTTACGGAGTCCACCAGTCTCGTAAGGACTACTTTAGTTTTTTGTTGTAATTTAAAAAGTTTATTTTATCTGTCACTTTTTTTATAGAGACGGTATCACAATTCTTTGAACTACATAAGACAAGGTTCATTTTACTGTTTGTGGCTATAGTTGTATTTGCTCTGCTATTCTTAGTGGCTAGACAAATATCAAGCGAGGTATGTATTAAAAAATAATTCAATGTTTAATTTCTTTTTTTCTCAGTATCTAATATATATAATTTATATACATATATATATATATAGGCAGAAAATTTTGCTATTCTCACGCTTGGTCTTACAATGTTTCGATTTATCACCGTTACAGTATTTGTTTTTGCTAATTCTCAGGCTATACCAGTTCTTTGGGCACCAAGGTAAGATTGTGCATCATTCAAATAAATATTATTAATTAATTAAATCACTAATTTATATTTTATAATAATAATAATAATAATAATAATTAGTGTGGTATTTTTAGTGGTTCCCGTAGCATTCAATTTAATTTTAGCATTTGCAATATTATTTACGGAACGAGAAAGACATTTCGTCAAATGGTTTGCACGTAATGGAAGAGTTGCTGTTTCATTCGCATTATTATCTGGCGCAAATATCGACACTTTATTAATATTAAGATCGCGTGTGATGGGACTTAATATGTTTGATGCGCCATTTACCGATAGATCGTTGAAAACAATATTTTGGGGAGCTTGTATTGCCGTATTTCTGGCAGATATACCGCAATTTATTATTCAGGTATGTTTAAAATTGAATTACAATTAATTATAAATATATATATAATTTTTCTAACAATAGAAAATTTTTATTAGATAATATATCTTCTTTCTAGTGTTTTGTTCGATGTTGTTCCAATATTTGGCGTAATAGCGTCAGGTCTCTCAATAATTGCCAGCGTAGCTAGTAAATTCTTCTTTATTTTTTATGGTGCACATTCTCCTTACTTAAAGCGTTTTTTGGAAGATACTGAAACCATGGAAATTGAAAAGGTTGATGCAACTAATGTAACTGATGGAAAATAATGAGTAAGGATAAAATTCATTAATTTAAAAAAAAATGTAAAAAAAAATTTAGAATGTTTATTGCTATGCGTTAGCTAAGAATCATTAATACTGTATTTTTATTAATAGTTTATAATTACATGTATAAACTTTAAACAGATATTCTTAATAGTAAAAATTTACTGTTGTAATTTTATTATTACATGTAATCAATATAATTAATATTAAAATCAACTTTTACCCTTAAATTATAGAATTATGTGGTGTTTCTTTTAACATAAAAAGTTTGAGATTTGTTAATTCGAATGCTAAGTTCATGCCCGTTCTATGACTGTAAACCATCATAATGTAACTGAAAAAATCAAATAAGCCCAAAAATTCGGTCATAACTCACTTGATCCTAATTAAACAATGTGAAATTTTTAGGCTAAAAACATTAAGATCCTGTATAATATTTATGATAGTAAAATTACCATTTGTGTTAAGTTTCGGTAAGTTGGTTTTTTCATGCAGTTTTGTAATTTCGAGCCCATATAATTTCAATCTTCAGTGATTGAAGGGTTAAAAAGTGAATCATATATAATATTCAAATCAAATGATTTTAATGATATTGGCCGGGCTTTTATAAAGGCGGTATTTTTTATTAATGATTGAACTCATGATTCACAAATTAAGCTCAGAATAGTATTCAAATCAATTGACTTTTCAAGTCGGTCCTATTATCTTCCTGGTCGGAACTTGAATCTAAAAAAGCTGATAATATATTTTCAAATTAAACATGTCTGCACCAAATTAGATAATTAAAAATAAAAAATTTTGAGTGATTATTATTTAATTAGAAAATACATAATTAATTTTGCGCAAATTCTATGTTCAATTTCAATTAGACACTACGATAAAGTTTTTTAAATCAAGTTCCGATCAGGACCGACATTTTTTTTCGCAGGACAAACTCGCATATATATCCGGCAAAGTTAAGTTTTATATTAGTAAATAAAGAGACGCTTTTGTAAATACACTGTGTGGGGAAGATTTAAGAGGAGTTAACCCAGTGATCATAATATCACACGACTATCATTCAGCCTAGGTTAGGGCTAGTTTAGAAGCATAGTTTAGGCTAGTTTATTTAATTCTGGTAAACAAATGACGTTATGATATGCTTATCAAATGATTGTTCTTAAAGTGTCCCCGGGCCAATGCCAAGCCCTGGGTCGACCGGGCTGCCAAAATTATTCAGGCCGGTCGACCGGCCGACTATTCTATCATAAAATTTTTCACCTAATGAAACTATTTTAATACATTGTAATGAATGAAGAATAATAGACAATGTAATTGATAAATTATAGTAAAAAAAAAACAAAGTAATTAATAAAATGATATAATAAATCAATTAATTTTTACCCTATATATTTTATTATTTACTTCATTTTTCTAACTATATATATTTTCTTATTTGTTAACCTATTTATTTTTGTCATTCGCTTACCCACTATCAATTAACCTACGCATTCACTAGCTTCCCTCATAATAACTTTACCTAAAAAAAATTGATCTTTTCCGTATAACTGCACTTTCATATAACCAATTATCATAAGTTATGCAATGAATTCCTATTGGATGAAAAAATTTGACTATTCCAGCCGAGCTGACCCGCCTGCCCGCCCGGCTGATGGGCCGTGGTCAGCCAATATCGATATTTCGATCGACATAATTAGTCGAGTGATAAACATAAGTCAGAGGTGGGAAACTTTTCGACATATGTATCGTAGATTTATTAAGACTAATATTTATTTGTGATTTAATAATTACAGTATATATAACTAGGTAAAAGAAATGACAACGTGAATTCGTAATATCAATACCGGTTCTTACCGGTATTTATTTATTAATGAGTACCGGCATGCAAAGACGTCGTTGATGAGATCTATAAATAGCATTTTCCCTAAATTGTAAGCCGCCATTTATCGTTATGGTATATACACACTTATAAAGTTAATCGGGCTTAAATTTCTGCATAATTTATATGCATAGAAGAAATGAATAAATAAACATTAAATATAAAATAAATAAAAATGTAATGATATGAGTTGGCAACAATTTGTTTATTATGTAAAAAGTAAATCAAAATTAGTTTAATCTTAAAAAAAATGGAATAACCAAATCCAATATTATAACGGATATTACACAACATTTGCGTGCTATTATGCTAAAAATGATTAGATGGAAACGAAGCTAGATTTATGAACCTATTGAACATTTTATATATTTAAAATATACTGTTTAAAAAATTTTAACATCGATCAAATGATTTTATAATTTTGGTATTTTCATTTATGATATTGAATTATATTATGATGCTGTAATAATTGTATACAATCAGAAAGCTATCTACTTTATCTTTGTTTTAGAAATTTGAATTGTATATAATAAGCGCATTTTCTTTCCAAAAAATTTATTCTCAAGTCTTAATACTTGATAATACTTGATAATACTTGATAATACTCGATAAAAATTTTTTTGTAATTAGTTCAAAGACTATGTATTTTAAAAAATTGTTACTTTTTGTCATTTGGAGCCTCTTCATGGCAACCTCTTTCGCCAATCCTCATTACATTAAAAGAGATGATGTAACACCGCAAACATGCCCGGCTGCTATGCTATCAGCAACTTCTGAATGCGATATAAAAGGACAGATGGCATTTTACCAAGATAATGGTGGAAGTATCTGGTTAACTGGTACTTACCAATATGGATTTCAAAATCCGAAAGAATGGGATTATTGCTATACAATTCAAAATAAATGCGGAAAGGTTCTTTTCAATCTTACTGATTGGTTAGGTATGGAGTATGCTAAAGAAAGTGGTTGTAATGGTTATGATGATGATATGTCAAAAAGGTTTACCAGGAGGAGAAACATTCTTGATAAAAGAAATGATGATAAGTGTGAAATAGGTCATTGGGGCAGTAAACCTTGGGTAATTAAAGTGGATGATTTAACATGGGATTGTGGTAAAAAAGGTTTCAAATATGAAAATTGTGATGGTAAGGATATTTATGCGGATATGGTGGTGGATTATGATAAAGTAAAACTTCCAAAACGGCTTAGCGATCAAGGACCTGCCTCGGGATTCTATTTAGTTATTGAGGGCTCAAGTAAATGGGGTAAACGTACGACTAGTTTATCACCTGCTGCGATTAATGTTAATAATCAAGGTGGTGTAGTTGCACCACCACCACCACCACCACCACCACCACCAGCAGCGACACCAGCAGCGACGCCGGCAGCAGCGACAACCGCAGCAGCGGCAACAGCACCAGCTACAGCGACTCCAGCTGCAGCAACTCCAGCAACTCCAACTACAGCAACTCCAACTACAGCAACTACAGCAACACCGGCTACAACAACACCAGCAACACCGGCTGCAGCAGCCGCAGCAACTCCAGCTGCACCGGCTGCACCAGCTGCACCACCAGCTGTTAAAGGATAAATGGAACAGTTATACCTTCATTATTTTGATAAAATATTAAATGTTACTATTAGTGTTGTAGTTTTTCAATTAAAATATTTGTCCTTTTAAATTACAATAGTTGAACATTTTTTCTTGTAAATTTTTGGATGTTATCATTAGTCTTTATCTAAGCATACAGGACGAAGGTACAATAATGTAGCGCCTAAGTCCTGTCAGTATCAATAAAATATATATAATGTAAAAATCGGTGAGAGATAAATTTTAAGTTATGTATTATGATATTATTAAGAGAATTAATAATTGGGTTTGTATGTTCTAAAAAAAGTTATTATCTTTTTTTTTTTATCTTTCTTTTTGGTTTGTTTTAAAACAACCATAAGTGATTTGGATGCAAAATTTTAATTAGTCGGAAATTGAATAATCAACCAAGGGTGTTCTCAAGCATATAGCCAGAACATTTTGGATAAAGGTCAATAATACGAATGACGACATTGCTATTACTATGATTTTTAATAATTGTAGTGATGCACAATTTCAACGATAGGTCAAAATAAAGATCTCTATCACAAGTTGAGAGGATTCCAAATAGTTTATCGAAAATTTACAAAAAATATATGTCGATAATGAAAATCCATAATAAAAGTATGAAAACCCTTGAAGTATACTTTATTCATTTTAATATTTATAAAGTTTTGATAAGTCAGGGCAAAAAAAAAAGGTGGTTAGGGTCAAAAAGTTTTTTGACTGAAATGGAAAACTCACTTCTCATTTTTTACTATTTAAATTTTTTTTTCACGTAATAAACTACCTTACTCATCTTAATGGCAAGCTAGATTGATCGATTAAAATCACTTTCCGTTAATTAAAATTTAATTCCCGACCTCGATTAATAAATCAGCGAGATACAAACCATTGATAAAGGTCGCTCAATATTACTTTTACATTTTTATATCAGACATAATAAGCAATGAATACTCAACAAATTTCTATCCAACCCAAAAAATAACTTTTTTATTTTTAATGCTCGAAGCTTTTTAACCAAATAATTGATACTTTGGTACAAATGTAATAAATGCAACCCATCTTTTAACCTTTAGTCAAATTATAATGAATGCTACTTTTTTTGGTTCGTTCCCCTAAATTTAAAAATTTTTCAGCAACGACGACCAAAACTGAAGGATTTTGAGTAGATATTTTCTATATGTAACGGATAATGAAGACTATAACTCTTCGAAAATATTTCGTACTATCTATGTGAAATAGTAACTGTAGAATTACTATAGATTGCCTATAAAAAAAATTTAAATTGTTAAAATCATTAAAGGTGAAGTTAGTGCAACTGAAGTTGAAGTGGTTGAATAAAAAAAAAATTTATTAAGCTTTTTTTGGAAGAAATAGTGAAAGAATATGGAAAATTGAAAGAGTACGCTCAGGCATTTATGTTGTCATTGACTGTGATGCTTGAAATTTTGTAAATCGCTGCACACTGATATTAATCACTTGATTTTTGTCCGGTTGCGCGATTATACAATGATTTTCTAGTGAGCACAGATATGGCCGACAGATTTTATGAATATAAAATATTAATATTGAATCTTTGGCCAAAAAACGCATTTTACAATCATTTACAATCATGTAGTCGACAACAATCAGATGATTGTATAGGAGTGCACAATCTACAAATTTGTTCAAAAGGCACATCAATTTGCAAACCGCGCTAATTGATTGAGATGCTTGATAACATTCTTAATAATCATATAATACTATAATTACAAAATGATTGCACAGTTTGTGAGAATAGGAGTCATGTTACCTACGAAATAAATGCCATTGTTGAATGAGAATATCATTTCCTAATTGAGAACATTTGAAGATTAATATGAGTTGCGTGAGTGTGAAAATCAGGAAATAAAATTTGATTGGTTAAATTTTATTTCCTGGTTTTCATTCTCACACACTCATATGAAATTTTGTGCTCAACAAATCGTATCAGTTTTCCAACAGTCAACATTGTATCTTTGCAGGCTTGAAATATTTTCGTAGAGCCAAGTAAATCAAAATATAACAATCTAAAAATATGTACTCGGTTTAGATAAATTCATAAATTAAACCGGAAAAATACATCAATATTTATATATAAACTTCTTTTTAGCTACGTACGTACATGAAACTTTAAAATAATTGAACAATGCATTGTTAGTATAAATATCTATTTCTGATATTTTATTTTAGAGATACAGTATATTAAATAGACACCATTTCTAAAAATATTTTTCCCAATAAATTCCAAAAAGGTAATAAATACAATTATAAGATCTTTTTTGTTTATTATAGAGATTTCTCAAAAAATTTGATGGCGCAATATTAATAATAGTCTGATAAGCATCTTGAAACTCTAGAATTCTTGAATTTCGCATAAATCTCAACAAAAGAAAATTTTAAAGTTCTATTAATAAGTATCCGCATGCGTAAATAAATTCAAAACGGGTGTTTTCTTTCCAAACCTGTATGCATACATAAACACTTGAAGTTTTTTGGTCGCATATAATCATGGTTTTTTCTGGTTATTTTTGTTACGGATGTGATATATAATATAATATATATAATATGTTATTAATTTATATGTCAGGTATTCTAAAATTTCCATTTGTGTGTGTTGTGTTTTTCTCGAATTCCATTTGTATTACATTCTAATTAAGTAATATTAGTCTTCTAGTTTATTACTCAAGTAAATATAAGAGTAATACGTAGAGATGGGTTTCATGCGCATGATTCGGAATCATGCGCATTTTATCCCATCTAAATTTTATAAAGGAAAATTAAAGTATATTTAATTTAGGCCAAGGTGTATAATGCCAGGCAAAATTAAGAAATAGGAATGCAAAAGTTTTGAAAAATTCCGAAAAGAAAATGAATGAACATAAAGACGAGAAGGGTCGGGAAAATTTTGGCAAATATCCGATATTTTCCGGAGGGGAAATATAAAATCAAAAAAATTATATCATGCATTTTATATAACGTGCGCATGCGCATTTTCCCATCTCTACTTACACCCAATAAGGATTTTGTAAAAATCAGCAGATCGAATATTAAAAAAGTTGAACTGAAACCATCTCTCTCACATTTCATATTGACATTCAACGCGATCGTTACTGATATAAACTTCTAAATTATAAATTATACAATGGCGTTCATATTAATTATACTCCACCCAGTTATGTATGCATATCAATTATACTCACGTACGCATATCAATTATACTCCATCCAGTTACGTACGCATATCAATTATACTCCATCCAGTTACGTATGCATATCAACTATACTCCACCCAGTTACGTACGCATATCAATTATACTTTATCCAGTTACGTACGCATATCAATTATACTCCATCCAGTTACGTACGCATATCAACTATACTCCACCCAGTTACGTACGCATATCAATTATATCCAGTTACGTACGCATATCAACTATACTCCACCCAGGTACATGTTACAGTATATCCTATCCCGGTATTAAGTACCACGTACAACCGATCGTTCCCTACACAAAGTTCAAAGTATGTTGTGTTATGTAACGCTTTTCATTGCCATTAGCTATTTTTAAAAATGATTGTTCAATCATTAACTAGCTAGAATCGCATTCCAATTTTAAAACGAACATCTTTATATACTGCATAAAAAGCCGTTCATAAATTTTTCTTATACAAAAATGCCTTTGAATCCAGTGTTAGAACCACAAGAAAAAGAACTTGCAGCAGATTTGAAAAATGGAACATGCTGTATCTTTGCAGGAGCTGGAGTATCTTCATCTATTATCCACATTGACCCAGTTATGTCTGAAGTAAATGCCAATACTGTAATATCAACTGTTGGTAGTTGGGCTGGTTTTCGTACGTTTTTATTATACTTTACTGTTCAATTTTAAGCACTTTATTCTTATATTTATTAATATTAAAATATGGTTATAAAATAGTTCGTGCGGCGGCCACAGAATTTTTCAAAATATATACGTCATCGCAACTTTCCTTAGAGGATATTAATGACCTGTTTGAATTCGGAAGTGACGTTAATGAAAAAATTAGTAAACTATTAGAAGAAAATCAAGACCAATTATCTATTGCAAATAAAGCTGTTGAAGATGCTATTTTTGACCGAAAAGAATTTTTACAAAATGAATTAATTTCTCAAATTACAGACGATAAAAAAAGACTAGTTTCGGAAATTAATGTCGAAATTCAAAGAATTAAGTTTACTATTGATCGAGTTTACAATGAATTGCCCAAAACAAAGTAAGTATTATATCCACATAATAATTAAAACTGAAATAGTTATAATAAATTTTTTTTTTCTTTTTGGTTCAAAAAAAAATAAAGATTCCAACCTTCTTACAAAGAAAATAACATGGAGGATGATTATCCTGACCTTTTAAAAAAAGTTGCATTGATTCCGTGGGGAAAAGGGTCAGCAATTACAGAATCAACAGAGGTCCTTACACAACTTATTAATGAAATGAATGAGAATTTAGGCTGTAAGTAATTTACCTGAAATCATATTTATTTATTCGCGATTATATTTTAAATTCATAATTTCTCCTTCAAGATATCCCATCCGGTAATTTATGGCAACGAGGTTCCAAGTCAGTCAAACAAAGGATTGATGAATTAAAAGAGGAGATTAACAATAATCAAGATGAAGAGGCGAAAAAAAAGTTGATATATTTTAAAAATCATTATACAGAATTAAAAACATTATTTGATAAGTTTTCTGGTAGATATTTTTTAGATTTATCATGAACTGTCTATTTAGAAAACTATATTAACTTTTTTCTTTATTTTTCAGGCAGTAACGAGAAAAACAAATATATCACAGAGTTTATTAAAGATTTTCAATTAACATTAGCCGGTGTAATTTCTATAAATAACGATAATTTGAATTCAACTTTTAGACGTCTTACTGAACTTGTACTTAGTCCACTGAAGGTAAATATGCATAATATAAATAAATATATATAT